TTCATATAAACCCACACACAGTGGACACTGTGAACATTAAACAACTCAATGTTTCACTAAACTAATGATAGCCCCTGGGGGCTCTTGCGCCCTTAAAAGTCGAAATTTACTTGTAGACGTTGCCTACATTGACTTTAGTAAGGCTTTTAACAAAGTTGTCACAACTGGCTGTTATACAAATTAGGAAATACCGCGGTTAAAGGCAATATATCAATGTGGATAAAGGAATTCCGAGTTAGGTGTCAAGTAAGAGTACGGGTGAACTCAAAGTCGTCTAGCTGATAACTTATGCTTAGCGGAGTATCCCAGGGTACCGTTTCGGGGACAGGTTGTTCTTCATGTATGGGAATGAACTTCACGGTCTACTAGTAACGTCGATATTGTTATACGCAGACGATGTCAAGACATAGAGAGCGATAAAAACTGGTGACAATCCAGAGTTTCAAAATGACCTGAAGAAATTATCTGAATGGTAGAAAATCTGACAGTTGCTAATAAATGTTTCAAAGTGCACAATGATCCCTCTTACTCAACAAGGTACGGATTCATACACGGTGGATAAAACTGAGCTGCCTATTGTCCAGACACAAAATGACTTAGGAGTAACCGTTAGCCAAAACTTAAAAATTAATTCGCACTGCCATATGAAAGTCGACAGAGTTTATGGAACACCAGAGTCAGTATGTGGAGCTTTTAGCCATGTCAATGTCAAGACCTTTTAGACTTCATGTACAGTATTCGTTCGTCCTAAACTCGAGTGCTGTGTGCAGGCGGCTAGCACCTGCATAAAAAGAGACGATGAACAGTTGACAACGGTTTAAAGGACAACAGGTAAGCTGATTCTCGGAATAGCTGAGCTCCCGTATGATGCTCGGCAGGCAAAACTAAGCCCGTATCCATTGTCGTATAGAAGAACCACAGGTGACGTAATTACAGTTTTTAAGTAACTTGGTGATAATATTGCATCTGGTGCTCTCATTTTTCTTCTATTTGCGAGAATCCTCTAGGAATGTTCGCAAGTCCACAACAAATTACTTGTCAGCTGACTATCGAATTCCCCATCGAATCATCAATGAATGAAATTCATCACCTCAACACTCGACTGAAGCTTCAACTTTTGACACTTTTATATAAACGTTAAAACAGCTATGAGATCACCACTGCAAGGACTAACACAGAAAACCTAACCTCCTGTCCCTTGCAAAATCAAACTAATACGGTGATGATTTCCTTGATCTCTTGAACATCCATCCAAGTTTCGAGATAATCAGTATTCAAAAGTTATGAACAAAGATGCTGGCCACTTATTAGTCAGCTGGTCAATCAGACAGAGCCAAAATTAAAACTTCCATATAGTCCTACTAGGGATACGAATCATTTAAAGTAAGCAGTAGCTCATGACAATACGGATTAAAGGTGTTATGGATACTCAGGACTTGACATTGCTATTATCTGCAAAAACTTATAAAATCGAAGTGTCAACCTAGCCATACTAGAGAGACCGAAGTTATATTTGGGAATTTATAGATATGCTGAATGTTTGATTTAGACTAGTTAGTTTTTGCGCGTGATGCGTAGCACGGCGCACTCAGTAGCAATCTAGGGTGGCTGAGTGGCCTAGCGCATTCAGCTAGGGTGAGTCCAGTATCAATGTGCAAAACTCAAAATAGTCATTTATTTATGGGAATTTATTTACCGCCACAATATTAGAATATAACACCAAGAAGTTTACAATTACCTGGTCTGTACTGATATTACTCAGTAATGCAAATGTTTCCCATTTTTCTCGGAACATTCGTTTCATATATTCAATTAAGTGGAATCACCTTTGTTATTAATGTTTTCCAGCATTTCTCAGTTTGACATAGTTTGTGAATGACTTTAATTTCAGAAGACTGACCACCCCAACTATATTTGAAGAACTTATTACAGCAACAAATTTATCAGACAGATACTATTCTTAATCATCAGTTTCCGTGCCTACTACCATTTAAGATTTATGACATTTCTACCAGCTCGTACAGAGTTCCAACCCCAATCAGTAGATGTAGCCTACTAAGAACTAGTGGTGTATTACAAATTCGACGTAGTTCCACCTGACTGGTCTCAATCACTGATTGTGCCAGTCTATAAGAAAGGAAAAAGGTCCTCTCCTGACAATCACAAAAGAATCAGTTTGACTAATATAGTGTCTAAAATATTAGCTTCAATAATACTTCGACGCCTAACCAAAGCTCGTGAAGAGCAGACTAGAGAAAACCAGGCTGGCTTTCGACCTCAACGTGGTTGTATAGACCAGATATTCACACTACGTCAGGTCCCAGAACATAGACACAAATTCAGACGCCCCACAATCGTAGTATTTCTCGACCTTAAGGTGGCGTTTGACTCTGTTGATCGTGAGGTTCTATGGCATTGCTTGTCATTGGAAGGAGTACCGAAGAACTACATTAACCTTGTAAAGGCTGTCTACTCAAACTCAACTGGCCGAGTGAGAGTTGATTACCTCAAGTGGTGTTCGTCAGGGCTGTTCACTCTCTTCATTCTTGTTTAACTTTGTCGTTGACGTGCTTTTAGAGATAACACTTCCCTCATCCAAATTTCCAGGGGTTGAACTTCTACCAGGAGATTCACTTGTTGACTTGGAATATGCCGATGACATAGTTCTATTTGGTGAAGACGCTGACAAAATTCAGAGTCTTCTGACCACTCCAAGCAACAATGCGAGCATGTTCGGGATGCGATTCTCCCCCTCAAAATGCAAAATGTTGCTTCAGGATTGGGTTGCATCGACACCCGATCTAATGATAGGGAGTGAAGTAGTTGAGCGTGTCGACCGATTCACTTGTCTTGGAAGTCTCATCAGCCCTCGTGGTCTGGTGTTTGACGAAATCTCAGCACGGATACAGAAGGCTCGACTAACTTTTGCCAACTTGCGTCATTTATGGCGTAGGCAAGATATCCGTCTATCAACCAAAGGACGGTTTGCTGCACAGCAGTTCGTTTCGTCCTACTTTATGGCAGTGAACCATGGCCGGTAAGAGTAGAGGATATTCGTAGGTTACTAGTATTTGATCATAGGTGTCTTCGAAACATTGCTTGTATATCCTGGGACTACCGAGTAAGTAACACAGTTGTTAGGATACGGGTACTAGGTAAAGATGGCAAACCAATTGATGAAGTAGTGAGACTTCATCAGTTGAGATGGCTGGGACACGTGTTACGTATGCCCAACCACCGACTGCCACGACATGCGATGTTTCATGATGTAGGTGTAGGATGGAAGAAAGCTAGGGGCGGCCAGACAAAAACATGGCACAAATCCATGAAGTCACTGACAAGTGAACTGAGTCATGTTGGTAAGTGTGAACTAGCTAGTTGGGATCCGCGAGATGATAACAACCGATGGTTGGAGACCTGAATGACATGGCTCAAAACCGTTTGCGATGATTCAGGTGCATCCACTATTTGTGTTCTCCCAAACTTTAATCTCCTTGTCTCTTTCCAAATTGATTACACTGGATTATACTCTTTAAATAACATCTTCAAACCTTGGTCTTTTCGATTACTGCTTACACTCTTACCGCCTCTACCACTACGGGATTTGAATCGACAACTGCATCTCTGTGTTAATGTGGTGTAGCAACTCGAACTGATGTAAGCACGTATGAAGTTCTATGTTGTTGATGACTGACTTTTATGAACAGATTCTGTTTTGTCGAGTCTCACAAACCCATCGCATGAATGTGATTTAATGGGGACTGCAGTTACACGGCTCTTTGAATGAGTAGTGATATCGCACCGAAAGAAGTAAAGAAATTTGCGGATTTACTGTATATGTTAGCCTACTTGCATACTTGTTAACACACTTGGTATGCAGGTTTACATAAACTATGAGCAAATATACATTACATGCACACGAGTTTCCCCCCCATGCATCCTATAGCATACACATAGGCAAATTTACCCACTTATGAGGGTAGACGTTCACCATTCACGAAGAAAACGTATTCGGTACACCAGACTGTCTCTTACACATATGCATTCCATTTACACCATGGCTATCACTCCAGCATTTCCTTACACACATAAGCACAAGCACTCTATCATGGGAGATTGTTGGTCGCCCCATTGCAGCATTTGCTACCACCTCTTATTATGTCTTCGACTTGATAGATACGCTACTGATTTTGTTAGATACAGGGCAGATATTTCGCAACTCAACGTTTCATTTTTACGAAACCAAACGTCAATACGCTTGGATTGCGTAAGTCCGATGACTTCTGCAATTCCCATACCTGAGCACACACGACGGGTAGCTCGAGCGGTAAAGTGAGCCCCGAGTATACAACTCAGGATTGATCAGTTGCAACAGAGTGGGTGACCAGTCCGATCCCTGCGACTGCCCAAGTTGGCTAGCAGGGCTACCCCCACTATCCAACAACGCCACGAGGCCTTATGTCGGATACGCTGCCAACCGATAAGTCAGTCGTTGGTTTAGAAACAAGCGCACGAGGGTGACAATATACGGGCAACGTTGTTGCAGAATCCCCTGCACGAAGCTGAAAAATAAGCGCACTAGTTCCTATCTTTAGTGGACGGATTAGCTACACGATCATACATTAGCCCAAAATATCCTCCTCGAACAAATGTTAAGTTTTGTTTTCAAGTACTACCATATCTGTATAAAAATAACACAAATACTGGCAGTAATGAAGAGAGAGAATATCAAAGCAGTACCATATCTGCTAATAAACTACCCGAGATGCCAGCCGAAACCCTGACCGACAGACAGGGAGGTATTCGAAAGCAAACCGTACGAATTTCTCTTCTCTCTATATAGTACCGAAGTATCTTTAAGATAAAATGCAAAAGGAGAATAGTGGGTTTATTGATAGAATCTACTATATCACTTCCATAGAAATTAAGGTCAGTTGATACTCAACTCATTACTAAGAAACAGTGTGTACATAGCCAAGCAATGAAAAACTTTTGAAGTAGAAAAGGTTTAAATAAAATATATTTTTCTCAAGGAAAACGTTATTGTCGGAAGATATCGCATGAGGAACGTTATTTCTTTCTACACAAATCACTAGCGATATTCGGATAGGGAACTGAATGTCAGTCATAAGGACATGGTATTCAGAGCAGTAGTAGATGTAGGGCTGGAATGAGCAGAATAATCCAAAGACTCTGAAGATGTGATAGCTTGTAATTGGTCTGAAGTTTCGGTTTGTGTGGACGAAACCTAATAATGAGGAACATAGGTTAGTAATGCGAATCGGTCGATTTGTTAAATGAAATGTTCAAATTAAAACACACCATATCACGAAAAATAGTATGACAACCTTAAGACCCTATTACAAAACACTCTGATGGACACTTATTTTAAAATATATTCAATTATCGAGGATAAACAACGAAATCACCTTTGAAGTTGTAAAAATAAAAAGATATGAACGGAATTCGACTGAAGAAAATGATTTGATTTATACACAACTAAGAAATAAGTGAAATCCCATACTCTACAAGCATTTTTCATAATAATACGGGATATATAGATTAAATGACCATTATAATAATGATGGAATGACAAACGTCACGAAATACTAAACGTGACAAAATATTACCTACTTAACTTTCTAAATGGAACCTCCCAAATCGTCTTCCTAATAGTTGTTAAAAATGATAGAGATATACGTTAAACTATTATGAATTAAATGACGCAGAATCGAGATAAGGCAAGTCAAAATACACAAATAAGTAAAGAAAATTGAAGAATCTACACAATTTGTGATTAAATGATTATAAATGAAGAAAGTACAATCTAAAACCGAACTTACATTTTTTACATCATTATCAGTAAAATTCCCAGATTTGGTTTCGGACAGTGCTGGATACACAAAACTCATATGTAAGTCACGTCCATGAAACTGGGTAAACAGACGAATAGCTGCCTCGGCGAAATCACGAGTGCAAAACGTAACTTCCAGTACTAACTGATTAGTTTCAGGGTTAGTTTGTTTTGTACAAGATTGTGTATGCAGGTAATTTAGCTTGAAGTATAATGAGAAATTCAGGAAAAGTCAAAACCGATCGGCATTTAAAATTTCAAAAGTGAAAATAAAGCTTTGATAGTACTAGTTCTTGAATTTAGTCACCTGATTTTTTAGGACAGTCTACGTGTAAGATGTGCCACACTTTGAAACTAGGTGCCTGCGTTGGTGGAATCAATTGGAAAGTCGTTGGTAATTTCAAGAGTAACACACAATTTCCACATTTTTGAACATGTGCACAGGTATATGCGTAACTGTTTATACATAAATAGTAATAAAGCATTCTGGTTTATATTAGTTGTTATATATTTGTCAAATATACTCTAGCGGGAATACTAACGTGTTGAGAGGCAGATAGTGAAGAGCAGAAGAAGAAAGGCGCCACAAACTCACTTCTTGAATCATGAACTCGATAACTTCCAGCTTAAATAACTACTCACAGACCAACACCATGAGCTGTAAATGCGAACAAAGAAAAACTGATCTGACACAAATATTACACCAAGGCCATAAATGCGATGAAGTAATACTAGGTTCAGAGACTGCTGACTAATTTATATTCGAACATAAATATATAGTTATTACATCTGTGTGAATAGAGATGTCATCCGAGAAGTGATACGCAAGCAAGTTACATTGATCTTACAGTACATGAATACGGGAAATTTCGACATCATAGTAGCTCTATTTAATATTTGTTTTATTCAACAGTAGCGTAAAACACATTCCAGACAGGTGATTATATTAGCATAGTAACAATAATATATGCTATTAAAAACTGTTTTTGGTATGAAAACAGATTTTTTAAGAGCAAAATACATACTGAGAGGGCATTTTGAAAGTTTTCTACATCATCTGGTTCGATGCCAGTAATATACAAAGTTCGAGGTCGCTTATCAAGTTTGGTTTGAGTTCTGTTTGGGTATGCGGAATTGTCGCCGGGAGCACAACCGCTTGTGTTTTGAGACAAAAACATATCTGATGGCCGGACTGTCTCCAAGTCGACAAGCTAATAAACAAAAAGCCGTTTGAAAATACCAGATGAAAACAAAGAAATTAGTGTAACTATAGAATTACATTTAGCTAACAAAATTCAAATATCAATTCATATGGACAAACAACCATATTGTTTGGTACTCAAAAATAAACTGATTATAGTGCTAGCGATTATGGCAAGAACGTTCTTCAGCTTGTTAGTTGGGTAACGTAGGACCTGATAATTAATATGATCAATAAAAAGATATGTACTTTGTGTACTCATATTCAACGAAAATTTATATCAATAAATACGGTTGAATGAAGGAGTCAGGTTAACCTTCCGTGAATAAGATCGTATGATTTTGAAGTCCAGCTGCACAAGACGGGATGGAATCCACAAAGTCAGTGAACTTATTAGTATGTGCGGAATTATAGCCTACGATTAAGCTACGAATGTAATAATGTTTGCGTGACTGTACAGTGATCTATATATGGCTTTAAAAAACACTAAGAAACTATTTAAGGGACTCAGGCGAATGGTCTTCGGAAGTGATACAATGTTAAACTACGTTCTATTTTGGGAATAGGTAAATCTGTTTACGGAAATACAAGTTAATAGTATATTCAAGTTTATCATTGGGTATCTGTAACTATTTTTATTAACAACTGATTTCAAATGTGAGCTATAATCTACAACTGGTACAATTCATTATACACTGAAATTAACCTAAACGAAAACCGATATGTGTAAATCTAGAAACCAAGAAGAATACGAAGAAATACTAGTCTATAAGTAAAGGGAAATCAATGAGTCCATAGATTTTATAGCTGAGGCAAAGAGACCCTACCTGGCGTTTAAGTTCTACAATCCTTCGACGACCTTCTTTTAATTTAACCTCATCTTGAGTTGCATCACGTAGGTTTGCTTCCAATTTATCGATTTCGATTTGAATCTAATATGTAAAATATAAGCAGCGATGAATTAATATATGATAAATAATAACTAAAACACTAAGGAAATACTCAAATGTACATTGATGACTTTTTATGGTAATCGCAATTGTTAACTATTTGTTAAGTTGGCAAGAAAAGTAATTTATAAAAATGGACAAAGTTTACCATTATCATTGGAATTATTTAAAAAACAACTGCATGAACGAATTTAAATTATGTAAACATACTTCAGAAATTTGTTTTTGTCTTTCTAATCGAATTGGACTCGGTAAAGCTTGTAATGCGGCCGCACTAATTGTTGTGCTTCCTAATGGTTTTGAAATGAACATTTTTTTGCTGTTTGATTCTCGGTTTAAACTTCGGATATCCAAATCTTTCTTCTCAGCTTCCAAAGTCGATTCAAGCTCAGTTTGTAGCCGTTTGGCTTCAGTAAGTAATTTTCGTCTTTCATCCAATGTCAGTGGTTTCGAATCTGTACAATTGTCTGTTTCGCTAGTACGATTATTTTCCAACTGACTCATCACTTTTTCAAGAAGCAACTTCAGTTTAGTAATTCGTTGTTTTCGAGCCTCAATCACTGATTCTCGGGCTTCACGAGACTAGAGAAATAAAACATGGACATTTTAAAATGAAATTAAGTGATAAAAGAATATTTTCACAGTTGGAATCACGAGTCGATCTAAGCCAGACCACCGACAAAAACCTGGAAGTATTGGACAGTCGTCCCACGATGGGACACATCAATAGTGAGCATCCACGATCTCACATGCGGGATATTTGACGAAATAAATTCTACATTCAAGTAAATAGTTGACTTTTATCAAATAACCAGGTATATCACATATAAACAAATCACACTGAAATTGAATTATTAAAATGAAATATAATCAGATATAAATATATGATTAAATTCTATTTTAGCTTGACGTAAGAAAAGTACCTTATCTAAAAGCATAAGTTGTTCTTTACGTTGTCTCAATGCAGCCATTTTACGACGCTCCCAAAGAATTGCCTCAGCCTCTTGTTTATGCGACAAAGTATAAGGACTTGACGTAACAGTTATATTATTACTATTATTGAATTGCCTTGCTGTATCCTGAAAGAACACAAAACGAGGTCTTGATGAATAAAGTCCATTGCCTTTGAAAAGATACAACAAAAACTGAACAAACGATCTGATCATTATGTGTTTATGATTTGACACTAGTAAATACAAATTTCGAAACATCCTAATAAGCACAAAAAGTGTGTATTACATTATCGAGTAGCATATACACAAAAAATTCATGAACGTTGTTGGGATATTCAGGAAAATATCCCAAAAATTATTCTATTGAGTCTAATGCTAATCTTGGACTTGGGATGGTATCATTTTCCTACTGGTCAATACTTATTTCGCGTGTCAAATGTTATTTTCTGTTTTATGGTGCGATGTGGTCTGTTTGATTGGTATACAAACCGAGTATGTTTGAAATACATGATTCATATCTTAGAGGCTGAGACTTGTGTTCTGGACTCAACTGGCTGGGCTAGACAGGGAAGCGGGGCCAATCAGAACTGTAGGCCGTTCTTGTGTGTTTTTGCGTCTTTGGTCCGATCGATAATACGCTTCGCTTTAATCTGCAGCACACAGTTATAACAAACATTCATCCTACCGAATTGTTGTAATGACCCTTTTCAATGAGGTTTTAAAGGAAACAACTATAATCATTAGCACGTCAACATTGTTGTACTTATTACACAAGACATTTAAAAGTGGAACAAATGGGGAATCTCTACTTACTAATTAGTATACGAGTCACGGATAATAATTCGCAAGCGATAAACTCAAGCTTTTTTCAGGTGAATACTTACCGTAAAACTTAAACAAGACCTTAGTAGTTTGAATATTAAATAGAAGATTAACAATACACTACGCCATGAAGCACAGTTATGATAACAAAATCAAGGTAACAATCACAATACCAAATGAAATGAAATATATAATGAATGAATATATAACAGGAATGCAGCAGAATTAATCGATGTCGTGATCTACACTACAATGTACAAGTTCTTTAGAACATGAAAACAAAATAATACCGAAGTGATAGTTTCCTGAAAAAACGAAAACAATTTAGTGTTTAAGAGTAAAGGTCATGTTTTCCTTTTCGGATCTTCTAAAGTGAGCAAATACTCTTTGAAACTGTCATACTGTTTGAAAAAATTAAGCAGTAAAAGGTGCATGATACTAATAGATGACCCTTAAAATGCTTGATAATAAATAAAATGGTCAAACTGAGCTGTTACAGTATGCATCTATTACAAAACAAGTTGCCTAAAACCCAACCAACTGTACTGCTGTTATGAGTTTTACTTAACAGAATGCCAACCGTTAGCTGCGTAAAAATAGGAGATAGGATTGATCGACCAAAATGAGCGGGCACAAAATATGCTAACTGAAATCATAAACCAAACCAGGTGTGGTGATTACGAAGTCTGTGTGTAGTTCAGTATTCATATTGGTAAATTATAATACCTTTAGTTACTAATCGCAAACACTTATATAAAACTAGAGGTGAAGAAAATAACATTCAATAAAATTGATAAAATCCGATGTCTACAAAATGACGAGAGACGTGGACAGATTTAGCGATACTTTTCATAGCTACAGCTTCCTCATTGAGTCATAAACCATTAGTTAGGATAAGATATTTATGGAAAGTCATCATAAAATTAGGTTTTTCAATTAAAGCAGTAACTGGATGTTATTAAAAAGATTTCACTGAAAAACTGAAGCTTAAATTTTATAATTTAGTCAAGAAGTGGTAAAGGTTTTAGAAACTGCTTATCTATAGAATGTGTCACAATTAATACTGATAAACTTAGACTTGTACAATAAATCAACAAATTCAACTAAGAATTTAATTATTTATGTCGTTAGGAAAGATGAATGGTAGCATAAGATAATAAAAAATGAATCTAAGTGATCGTGTTTCGTAAATTTACAGAACAGATTTCTATAAGTTAACCAGAGCACATTTCCGAAATATTTGCTTATAAATAATATTTCACAACCTGCTTAACCAATCACAAATATTAGGCATGCGTCATACGTTTTGCTAAACTAGATTAGGCTATTATAGCCTCGAATGAGCGGAACGATCAATGATGTTCGAATAAGGAATCGAATCAGGAAAATGAACAATCATTTCTACAAAACCAATCTAATTAAAATTTGCAATCATTTACTTAGAAGCAACAAATCTACTGACGATCTAATGGAGTAATTTAAAAAATAACCATCTTACACTCACAGGATTACGAGTAAATAATAATGACTCTTGATCGGCATTAAGATCAACATAATTATCTACTACTTTATCAATTCTTTGATTAAAAGCTTTACTACGTTCTTTGATGAAAGTGGCAGAATTTCGTTCATGACTATCTATGGTCGGATTTTCGTCAATTAAATCGTCTTCTTCATCACCCGATAATAAGGCATCTCCACTGGTTGGATTACGTTCTAAACGCCAACGAGATCTATTACCCCTTTGGATGGTATCATCAGGAAGAATGCTGCCAGGAACGTGTTGATTTTCTATACAGTCATTCGTCATACTCATCCATGAATATGAATTAATCTTTTTATTTCCAGGAACAGGTCGTGTTCCTAAACGATCCAGTATACTCTGTAACAAAAGTTTCAAAATAAGAAAATCATTAAAAAGCATTTATTTTAAACGCTTCAACTACAAATTAGCTTTCTGTTAAAACACGGTAAACAAACGATCAACCATTGGGCTAATCTGAAATTTATCAATAAAATATCCTAAATTACATCAAAATGATAAACAGATAATATAATGAGTGTTGAAGCAATATTATCCGACCAGTAAATGAAGTTATCTGATTCATTTACTAGGTACAGATTGGTGCACATGGCTTTGGGCCAGTGATACCAACCGGATGCTTAAGCCGGAGTATATGGAGCGAGGTTTCAAACTGCAACTGAGTAGAATGGATCAATCATTGAACCATAGCTCTATAGTGAGTGAAGTTACATTAGTAAATCATATTCCATTGTTAGCGAGACATAGATTGGATTAAATCATGCTCAATGCACGATTGCTTTGGTGCACGCTGATTGGATAAGAATTAGCTAATCAGCGTTAGCCAACACTTAGTGAACACTAGAAATCTCATGTGAAAAACTATAAATATACTAACGTTTTCCCTATTGTGCTTCTTACTTCCATCTAACCTTGTTATTTGGAATATAATCCCTTTCCTGTCCAACCGTGTTCTGATTTGGGGACTTGTCGAGTGCATCGGTGTCCGAGAATACTAAGCAATAGGAATAGCTGGGTTATAACCGTAAGAGAGAATTATAACATCCACAAAAAGAGATCAAAATAATTAGGCTCATGAAAGTTACATGTATCTTTTAGGATTCTGAATAATAAACACATTTCTAATTATTTAAACTTATTCGATAATTTGAACAATTGTCTTCAGAAAAATTCACTTCTAAACGTTGTTTTATAAGTTAAACTACCTACACAGTCGGTTAATCAAATGCGACATAGAATTTGGCACATGCGTACATCGGTCCAAGTTTCCCAATTCTATTAGGACAGAGTCATGAATCTGTCTGGGCAAATCCCAGAGTTGCAGAGGTAGTAACAGCATTAACGATAGTATAAAAGTTTAAGGATCCAATGTGCGATTCGAAAAGGAAATATAAATTAGTGAAATAATGATTTTGGGAAGTGTATCCGGAATTTATAAACTTAGGATCTAAAGAGATACAAAGAGTGAATGTAATTGCACAACTATAAACGATTTTGAGCAATGTTACTCACAATCCCTAATCATTGGTTACGATGACCAAGGAGACTCCAATCAAGTAGTTTGCATTTGCCTAAATATGTCAGTCTAACAATGTCTTTATGGACTAACGTTAGTTCATAGGTTTGACCCCCTTTACCATTCTTTCAACCTATTCCAACACCAGCCATCAGCGCCCATTGAGGTAGTCAGTGGATGGTGTGTATATGTAATACATGTTCCAACGCTCTCAGTCGATAAAGAATCACTACCTCGTCACCTGATTTGCCACGCTTACCTAGTACTCCGAGTCGAAACTCAGCATCACCAAGGAATTATATGAATCCATTATGCACTAGAATTCGGTAACAATGAATCACAAATAACCTAAATAGCACTTTGACTACTTCCTAGGACAGGAAATGTCAAGGATGATACAGACGAAAATGACGATAGATAGGGAAATAACACTATAACTCAGCAAATAAGAATAAATATTAGATTTATGTGAGCACCAGATGGCGCTGACTCAGTATGCAATACAACTGTTCTAACTAGTTTACTAAATGAAGGTTTACAACTTAAGTAATTGTTTGCGTATTATTTTAGTGATTAAAATATTTGAGATGGTTTAACGGTTAAGGTAACTAGCTTTAACCACTGATTCGCAGGTTTAAAATCCAGTTAATCTTCGTATTGACAAGCTAGCTAGTATTATTGCAAGTGTCTTAAAGTCGAACACATGAACTTATATGTGATTATTTAGGTAAAAAAAATAAACGAAAGATTCGTGAGTCATGCTTCAAATACATAAATAGTCGAATAACCACAAACTATGCATATACCCATATTCTTAGTAATCATGCTGTACACCAATAAAATGATAGAAAGCAGACTGTCAAGCAGTATACTTGCCCACGACAATATAACAGTTAAAACAGCACATATAATCGAAGAATTTTGTTTCCAATTAGACTTTTATCAGGCTTGACTCTAACATACGACAATATTAATATGCACATATGAAAAGCATCAAACCCATCAGTTTATGAGTCAATGATTATACGCATATAAGTCGCACTGAATATCCACTGCAAGGAACCTATCAAGTGGAATAAATTTCCAACTTGTCTGACCTTGCACAAAATTCGGGTTTGTAAGCAAAAAAACCCAAAAAGATTAGTAAAAATGAAAATTTTGTAAAAGTATTCGCAAACTGCATGAAAGCCTGTATTACCGCTGCTAAAACATGCACAATAATTCAAAAATTACACATCCTACTTTTAAAATTTTACAGTTAATTTAATACACTATAAAATCTAACCTTGGGACGAGGGAAACGACTAGTCATGCTTCGAGCATTGTGTTTGAAGTTTTCTGGAAAACGAGTGTAAATTCGAATAAATCTATTTGAAAACATAGGAATGGGGCTTCGATAGGCTTTCTCAGCTTCATCTGATGAAGAAAACTCAACCACTGCGGAACCTACCATGCCCTTGTATCTAGCAATGACGTTTATTACATGACCAAATTGAGCAAAATGCTCACGAATTTTATCCGCATCATTAAGTTTCCAAGGAAGACGATCGATATACAGAGTAGTACGAGGATCAACAGTTCGAGAAGTGATATCCAAAGAAAGATCTGTTACTCCTGATGTTTTTGGGACTACAGCATATGAACTGATTTGTTCAGTGATAGGACTGGGTTTATATGATAATGGTGGGGTAGAGGCATTATGTTCTACATCTGAAGTATCGCAAGACTGTAGAATATTAGACTCGGACGTCGAAATCATGGACAAATGTGGTCGATCTGGTTCATAGGCAGGTGGAGCTGAATTAATTTCGGTTTGATCTTTATTGTTAGTATTTTGAATCATTGGCAAAGGAACTATATTTCGACTAATAGTGTTGACATTGTTAAATACGCGAAAATTATTAGAACGTTGTTGCATGTTATTCTGCAAACGGGGATGCTTCCAATTGGATTTACTATACAAAACAGAAGGGTTAGAAACCTGAGGAAGTAATCCAGTATCCGATGACTGATCAATGCAACAGGTCATTAACATTTGATTATCTGGATGATTAACTAAATAGAAAAGACAAATTAATGAGGACAAAAAACGGATAACGATGAACTTCCCCGAGCCAAATATGTGAAAGGTAAAATTAGGCACAAAATTTACAGTTATTAGTTAACTGGAATCATATACCGAAAAAATGTTGACATGGAAACATTTCTAACCGATCCAATCTTGGCAATCATTGGTTTCATCGGTAAAGCCAAAAACGACAGTGGTACAACTCCTCATTGGGCAAGTGTTCTATTTTTCATATCTTCTTAACCACTGATACGGTAGAACGAAAGGTTTGCCTGATAACGTTCTTGATCTTTTCTGATAGATCAAAATAAACAGGTCTCTGTTACGACGGCACAATCGACTGTTAAAACGCTGGAATTATTGACGTGGTCGAATAAATAATTTGCCCACGTATACGATCATTAAGTCCCAGTCGAAAAAATTCCAGAACCAATTGTCAACTGACAGGACATCTATCAAGGAGTTCAAGCTGTCGTTAACATAAAATATCCAACCAATATAGTATGAACATGAGCTACTTTTCAGGTAATGATTAATTAATCAAGATTATAAAGCAATCAATGGGGGTCTATTATTATCCATAATATGAATCTATAAACAACAACGCAGAGAAACTGTTGTTAGAAATTATGAACTGTAATGTTATAATGTGTATATATGAACGTAAATATTATTCATATGTAGTTTTTCAGCAAGGTTATTACATATATTTTGTTAAAACTGGTGCTTTCTCGTTTACATATACTGCAATATAGGTACAATAAGCGACAGACACCCACACTACCGACATAAAGCCAAGGTCAATGACTTCCGAAGTTTACCTCTTAGAACAGAGCAAAACAATAATTAATCACAGCTAACAAAGAAACATGTGTAGAAGAAACCGATATACTTTATTTAATTTCAAAACCATTAGCCTTGAAACTGAAATGAAATCAATATGTATGTCATTTCAAGGATTTTATTATTATTGTCTCAATTATATAGTCACACTTGGAGCTATTCTGGCAACACTCATTGGTAGCTACGACTCACAGGATATTGCATTTTTCGACAATAATTAGGCTGTAGTAGACTAATTAACTAACAAATAATTTGAACGTGCCACTTAAATAGCATACTGATGCTAAATTCTAAGTGTTACAAAACTCGATATTTATAATACTTTTCGAAATAATAATGTAGCCAAGATGCTTGCAAGTCATTTGTTATGCTAATGCTTTATGTTCACTGATGTGAAATTTTCACACAAAATTTGCTACATGTACATCTAAAATGATTTTTTTATTTTTGCTAAATATTTACGCAGCAGTTGGATATAACTATTGAACCATTGGTTGCGTGAAGTGTATTTCGATAATCCGCACAAAATACATCTTTTTAATCGCATATAGCACTATTATTCCTGCTAACAGAATCTTATCAACTCCATAAAATTTAATTAGCACAATAATCAACATCAAAATTTTAACATCAATAAATGTATCTAGCATGACTAGATAAAATTCATTTTCCAATCCAAAAAGTTAACAAAGACAAACTCGGGATACGTTTAGACTTTCGCAGATGTACATTTGATGCAGGAAAATAACTGAAAATTAAAGATACATTATGTCAAACCGAAACAGTGCAGCAAAGCCAAGATACACGACTGAAACCTTAAAATATTGGAAAACTAAGCTCTGGACTTAAAAAATGAGTGCATTATGGTATAGTTTATTAGTATATTTTATTAGTTCATGCCACTTTTGTACCAGAAATCTCAGTCAATATTTTTCGCAGGATAACATCGTTATGACGTCAGCTTTCTACTACATTGAAATGAGTGAGGATTATCAACTTCTATGACTTATTACATTATTTAACACAATACTGACGACAGACAATTAGTTCGTCTTGTTGCTATGATGGTTAACAGTACATCTTATCTCATGTACGCAACGATAACATACGCCCTTTAATTTCAGATGAATAGGCTACGTGATACCTTAAATTATGCATCACGACCTATCTAAAGTAATACAATAGAAAAACTAAAGAGCATGCAATGTTACAACCACTGAGTGATGTGACAATAAACCGAATTTCTAAAAACTAGTACATTCTTTTTTTAGATTCAAATCATGGCAATCAATATGCGACTACATTGAAAATAAATCTCAATTACATAAAATTAACATTTGTATCAGAAAATTTCCTATAACTATTTACTTTCTGTTAATATACACTTATTAAATTGCTTCGTTTTATGTAAATAGAGAAGAGCTTTACTACACTGATTCATTGTATAATTTACGTTAAGTGGATTACAAAAGACTGAATAACTTGCAAACAGGACGATTGTGTATCGTAACAGTATGTTTGGAATAATAAAAAACTAGTTTGTCTTCATTTCAACCTAATAATCATACATATTCAAAAAGCAAGCACTAGTTTATTTTAATGCAAGAGTCTTTAACCTCTGGGAAAATCCTAAACTGATTGGTGGAAATAAGTTGATATTTTAACATGAATACATTCTGTATATGGAGTTGGAAATATGACTTTTACCACATTTTGGCCACTTCCATTAGGTATACTGGTATTTCACTAACAAGTAAACCACTTTTATAACTATTTGGTAGCTTCAAAACTTTATTACGTCAGTGAAAAAAATCTAGTGGTAGATTTTAGGTCTTTGGTTAAACACCACAGTAAGCAATAAACATACGTACTTGGAGTCGGGTGATAAACAGGAATAAGAGGAGTACCAATATGTTGATTTAAATCGTTAAGTTCAGTAGGTCCAGATAGAACAGCTGCTACAAAAGATTGAGGCTGAAGTGTACTAGATTTTGATGCCTCTTTTCCAATATTCATTGGTAAATCCCCAGTATTATTTGAGAGTGGATTAGTATCTAACAGAGGGTTTGTGAGATGAGCGATGGCGGACACAGCAGATTTAGCGGACGAAATTACCAAAGCATTCGGGCCGTGGTCATACTGACATCTGTCTCCATATACACAAAAACCACGCTCTTCAAAATCACGACAGCGACGGTACCTTACAGCTCGACACTTTTCATCAACTGCTCTGTAATCGGTGACAGACTTCGCAAAAGATTTACACGAACGATTGCTATGCTCATCTTTGTGCCGTGAGTGGATACGTTCACGACTGTTATACTTATGTGATTCTGAATCATTATACTTATTCCGACGCGATGAAATTGTATTTGAATGGGTTACTTCTTCATTTGAACTACCTAAAACAAAAATAGAATTTACAACTTTAAATAAATAGCTGCCTAAATAAATGAATGGTTGCACTGACAACAGTTGATGCTAATAGACGTAGTCAAAAAAAGTTAACCACAAACCTGATGAATTGCGTCTGATATGACCATCCACTGTTTTTAAGCTGGGTTCTTCTGAGTGGTTATTATGACGTCCACGACTGCAGGAATCTACATGTGGTTCAATTTCTTTCCCATGTTGCCTGCTAGTTGTACTTGCATTATTTATTGGTTTTCCTGGGGAATGGGGACTGCGTGAACGACTATCTGACGAAATTCTTTTTGCTTTATTCTCCGGTGAGCGTTTTCGTTTCTGCTTGGGAGCACAAGTGTCCGTGGCATTTGGAACGTTAGTGTTATTGTTTGTCAAATGTCTTTTCCTGTCTTTTGGTACATTATCAAAAGTATTTCCACAAGGGTTTTTTCCAGAAGAATCCTTTGGGTAAGAGTTGTCCGAAGACTGAGTTTGTTTTAATGTTTCACACGCAACATATGTTCTTGATTTAAGTACAGCAAACAAATCCTCTACGAACTTTGCTGTATTTTCTTGCAAGAATACTTCCAATTGGTCAATACATATTTCTCTTAGTTCCTGCTCGCCTTTGTCCTTTTTTATCAGGGCTATTACATACTGAGAAAGTGGAATCGGATCAGCAACACACCTACAATGTGCACAAGTTGCAGGAATAGTTTTAAAAACGAAAGTTCAAAAATATTTAGAAACAATTTATCGAAGAAATGTGTTAACTAGTGAGAAAACTTAAAAATCTCTACTTAATCCATCATAGATCTAAATAAAAATTACTTCTGTTCAATGACGTAGTACAGCTTTTTTTTATTTTCTGAAATACTCAAATTATCTGAAAATAATATGTGAGCTGAAGTTTATAGTTATTAATCCTGGTTTTAATAAAGTAGTATACGGATATAGTTATTTCAGTAGGTGTGGTATCAAGCAATTAACTTCAAGTATTGACTTATTAATGAAACCAGTCTCTTGGACAATGTAAAAAGTGCATTTAGCTAGTTCAGATTCAATATCAAAAACACAGAACTTCCGATTTTTTTTAAATGCCAGCAAGACGGTAGTGGTGGACCGTATCGATGTCACTATTACTCTATGGGATGCACCGAAAGTTTCTGTCCATTTGAAATAATATGTTTATGTTAACAGTACTACTGCTTTCAACAAACTTACATTGAATGGGGTAATGATTCTTTATCAACTCACGCGTCTGAAACGATAGGAACAATTGAAAAAGTTCGTGAATTCTTTTGTTGCTTACTAGCAGCACGGACGATTTTAACTGAAGCCCATTAGGGTTACAACCTGTTCCCATTACCAAAAAATGTCATTTTCCTTTAAATACTACATATCTACATTTCCTAATTATCTCAAGTAGACAGATATCCTGATGAGTCTTCGCTTGGACCTCATGATATGCTGCTCATCTACCAGTAGCATCGGATTTATTGCTTTTGAAATGTTCCGCACCGTAATTTATACGGATGAATTTCCTGGAACACTACCAACCTTAAAATCGAGTTCCGCTTTGTCATGAGGTCAAACACTTGCCTTATTGATATACAATACTGTATTGATGTCTAAATCATAGCCCATGAGTTGTATGGTTCTAACATGGTACATGTGAAAGGAGTATTTTCTGACAGGATGTAAAACACAGAGCTTTGGGCAAGACATAATGTTAAATCTAGCCATCACCTCAAAAGGAGGGATGGAGTCACCAGCCGACAGACGTTGGATGCGACTCCTGCTGGAGCTCCTTCAGAGTTAGTGCTGGCCCCAAGGCCAGATAAAGGAGAGCTGGATATAGGGATGGTCACACCACTGCTGTAAATAAAGCGCTACAAAAACCCTAGCCAGAACAAAATATTTACACCATTTTAACTTTGTTCGGAGAGCTAAAGGGTCTTCATATAAAAACTTTATGACACTTCATGATGAAAACTGAGATTATTTGGAAGCCACCAGACCAAAACCCCTTCTAAAAACCAGAGCAACAATTAATGTCAGAGTGGAATTTTCGAACAATGAACAAGACAGGGAGGGTCACTCGAATAGCAACACAGATGAAAATATTCTAACTGACCGTGCGTGGAACAGGTAAAACTCATTGAACACAATCCGTGCCAAATAAACCAACTTTAGGAGCTCTTACTTTAATCTGGTTACGAAGAACAAAGTGCCCCCAGCACGTAGAGTTGCAATGATTCTGTCTAAAGAAGTACGAAAAGCACTTATGGAACGCGGAACTCGTAGTTCCAAAATCATCAACGCATACTTTAGAAGCAAGAAGGTGAAGATTACGACAAATGACACCCAGCGTTTCCCATTCATAAGTGATAGCAGTGAAGACAATGAACACCAGTTTTATGAGCCTGGAGTCTACTGTAAATAGATGGCCAAGGAAATAATTAACCTGATGAATTACCTAAACGTTGAGGTTGAGATGGACAAAACTTGGTATGAAGGCACTATGGTGTATGAACTGTGGAGAAAAGAAACAACAATAGCAAGAGACCGGTAGATCTGTGTGGTTTCACAAACGTGGTCGTGGACTGCAATATTTTCCCCTATAAACACATCCACAAAACAACATGAACCTCACCAGATGACACTACGGAAAACTAGACCGAACACATCTGGATGTTTAAAAAATTCAGAAGTTTCATAGAGGACGTATGAACAAAGTAAGATGATATAACCTCATATCAACACTTGGTGGTGGCCAAGATGAAGTTATACCGAAATTAGCACCAAACAACTAGACAAACCGCATTGTGAAGATTTAATACAGCCCTGTTTTTATATGTTAACAAGCTCGGCGAATTCAAAACAACCCGCAGCAGCAATTTTTAAAACCCACAGGATCTACTAGAGGAAGAGAAAATTATTATGGACGGAAACTGTAAAACATTAAATAAGCGATACCTTCAACATGCTGGAGGTATTGAGTCCAAAAGAGCGCCAGCACAATAGACCTCTGTGGACAGCTTGAGCGAAATTCGAGAACGGAAAAACAAGAAAGTATTCAGTAATAGCCGGACGAAAACAGAAGCCCAGCCACAAGCTGAATATACAGAGGCATAGAGGCTGATAAGTGGAAGACCTGGAATCATCAGTAGACAAAGCTGCACGAGAAGCGTGAAGAGAAAATATGGTAAACAGAGGCGACCAGTTATGAACAAAGGCTCAGCCGAACAGCACACAGGCGACTGTTAACGGGGATCCATTCTAATAGTGTTTGTTCTGCCCTCGCACTTAGTGCTATACTCGCACCCACTAGTATACGAGAAATTGACTTCAGGTCGCCAAATAAACGGAGGGTGAATCTCGTCGGCTCTCCATTTTGGCGAGGTGAGGTTAAGTGAATGACCACACTAGGATCCTGTATGAGTGTTTCGGAGACAGCATACATCAATGGTACGGGATTTTAGGGTTTTAGTCAAAGGGGCCTACTGACCGATTTGACATAGTGTATGTACGTTGAAGGCTCCAATGTGTGGTTTAAAGTGAGATTTCAGTAGATCTGGGACAATGTTTTGCACACTAGAATCGTTGGCCGTGGTGACACATGAGGAAGAAGTCAAACGAGTAAGTTTGCAGTTAAAAATGGAGGTAGGAGGAATAATAAGAATTGAAGAAGGTGATTAATTGGGAATACAATGATCTTGAGTGTTGTTAGAGTTATGAGGGCGGTTATCGATTCCGGGTTGCCCACACCGTGTAAAGGTTCTTCTAGACGAACCTGGAAAGGAAATCGGGTTATAGTTGGTCTTACTGAACTGAGGGCATGACCACAGTGCCCAAGGGACAACTGCTGGAGGCCAGTCACACACGACCGTTTTGTGAGTAGTTTCGGGGTTAGCTCAGCACTTGTTGGGACCTATCCGCCGTAGTACGGTCAACCACAAGGTGAGGGAGCAACAATGGATCTCAGCAGCATATACTGCACACATAGATGCTCGACAACTCATTCCGAAGAAGTACATTAACCTTGTAAAGGCTCTCTCTACTCGAACACAACTGGTAGAGTGAGAGCTTATGGCGAACTGTCATCAGAATTGATTACCTCAAGTGGTGTTCGTCAGGGCTGTTCACTCTCTTTATTCTTGTTTAACTTTGTCGTTGACGTGCTTTTAGAGATAACACTTCCCTCATCCAAATTTCCAGGGGTTGAACTTCTACCAGGAGATTCACTTGTTGACTTGGAATATGCCGATGACATAGTTCTATTTGGTGAAGACGCTGACAAAATTCAGAGTCTTCTGACCACTCCAAGCAACAATGCGAGCATGTTCGGGATGCGATTCTCCCCCTCAAAATGCAAAATGTTGCTTCAGGATTGGGTTGCATCGACACCCGATCTAATGATAGGGAGTGAAGTAGTTGAGCGTGTCGACCGATTCACTTGTCTTGGAAGTCTCATCAGCCCTCGTGGTCTGGTGTTTGACGAAATCTCAGCACGGATACAGAAGGCTCGACTAACTTTTGCCAACTTGCGTCATTTATGGCGTAGGCAAGATATCCGTCTATCAACCAAAGGACGGTTTGCTGCACAGCAGTTCGTTTCGTCCTACTTTATGGCAGTGAACCATGGCCGGTAAGAGTAGAGGATATTCGTAGGTTACTAGTATTTGATCATAGGTGTCTTCGAAACATTGCTTGTATATCCTGGGACTACCGAGTAAGTAACACAGTTGTTAGGATACGGGTACTAGGTAAAGATGGCAAACCAATTGATGAAGTAGTGAGACTTCATCAGTTGAGATGGCTGGGACACGTGTTACGTATGCCCAACCACCGACTGCCACGACATGCGATGTTTCATGATGTAGGTGTAGGATGGAAGAAAGCTAGGGGCGGCCAGACAAAAACATGGCACAAATCCATGAAGTCACTGACAAGTGAACTGAGTCATGTTGGTAAGTGTGAACTAGCTAGTTGGGATTCGCGAGATGATAACAACCGATGGTTGGAGACCTGAATGACATGGCTCAAAACCGTTTGCGATGGTGCAGGTGCATCCATTCTTTGTTCTCACAAATTCTAATCTTCTGAATTCTTCATGTCCCTTTTTACTTCTTTACAAATGTTTCACTGGATTATAATCTTTGGATAACATCTTCAAACCCTAATCTTCCCGATTACTGCTTATACTCTTATTACGTCTACCACTATGGGATTTGAGCCGACAATTGTATCTCTGTGTCAATGTGGTGTGGCAACTCGAACTGATGTACGTACGTACGGAGTTCTACGTTGTTACGGACTGACAGACGGAAATCCGTGAGATAAGGCGATAGAGCAACTGACGAATCCGTTCCACTTTAAGATAAGTTTGTCTATGTTAGTCATTTTGCTAACTGTTGACGGGACTATGGAGCTCTAAACATCTCAGGGTAAGCACGAAATACAGTAGATGCTTTGGAAAGAGATGGATGATTTGAAATTGGTATGACTTTGCGTACTCAGACCGAGTTGACAATAAACAAGAACGATCTGATGCAGGTTTCAATGCATGAATTGACAAAGGAAGGGCAGTATTCGTGCAGCTGAAGAATAGCTGTGACTGTTCACAGACTGAAAGGGTTGTGACATGTTTTACCCAAGCATAACTACTATGTATCTCGATGTAGACTAGCGTAGGAGTGGGTTGGAAAAAAGCTACAGTCAAGGAAACTAAGAAGCAACATTAGTCCGTGAAGTTACTGACTGTTGGACTGAGAAGTGTAGATAAATAAAAATTACCTGACTGGGTAGATATGTTGAGTAACATGACTTGGAATTGGCACCAATGGAGCAAGTGCAATTTCTTTCTTTGGATTCTGAATTTCAAAATTGTCTTACATGTTTTATTTCGCGAATTCATTTCTCTATGCACTATCCTTTTCACTACCATCAATAGGACAATTGCTTCTGCTGCGATGGTCGTTAAAGTGACAATCTTAGCTGTTTTGATGTGATGTGACAACTTGGGTTGATGAACATTAGTCGTTGCTTATCATTGACTGGGCTAAGGCTATACAACCCCACCTAGATAATAACCCAGTTCAACTATTTACTGATAGACTGCATGCCAGAAAACTCGGTTTGTTACATTTTTAAGGACGTGTTACAAAACAAGTTTGCAGTGACTTTGCTGCTCCCATTAATTTTAGTTGCATATCACTGTTCAATCTATGTACAACAAACTATAAAAGTTAACTTAGGATGAGCCATTTTGTGATTTATTAACTGTCTAACACTATGCGCTTGACACTCATTGTGGCACAACATACAGGGACCTTCAACATGCTATTTGTATTCCCACACGGACAAATATGGGGAATGTGCTAGCAGTTAAAAAGCTGACTAATTTTCCTCAAAGATAGTAACAATGTGACCTGTGAACATGGGATATGAAGGAGACAAAACATCCATCTATATATACATTTAGCTTTAATTGTACAAATTAGTGAGGATGCATGTTGTTGTTTTATCGTTTTGTCGAGTTTGTACAGGAACATATTGCAGAATAACATGGAAAATATAGAAGTTGACGAATAAAATACGAGGTGCCAAGCAGAAATTACACAAAATCCGACAAAACTTTATGCGGGTGGTTTACGAGTGGCTAGAACATGATAGGAAAAGATATTAGCAAAGTAGCACCTAATACAAATACACCACTTCAAGTTTCCAGTCTTGAGAAACTGTAAAAACAGCATAAAGTCAGTTGTGCACTCAGCAATCATAAAGTGTTAAGACTAGTAGGAAGAACAAAATTCGACCGGTAAGATAGAAAGTGACGCATCAACTAATCAAAAACGGACTGTTGAAGATACTAAGAGGACTCGTGTACTGTCATGAATACTCCAAAACAGACTTACCAGAGACATTTGAGAACCCATTTTGAGTGTCCAAATGTTTCATTTCGCAACAAAGCTCAAGATGGCTACTTAGGTGAATTCTGTTGCAGTAAACCTATAAGCAGTTAATCCACTCCATTTTTGGCAAAAGACCTCGAACTTTTTTTTCCAAACTACTCTTTAAAACTGACCAGTCAATACTCTCAGATGTTCAACCTGGAATTAGTGAGGTGGACTTTGACCCTCAGAAGTAATGGTAGGAAGCTGAGAGTATTATGGCATTCCCTAAAATGACGCCATACATAGCACTACATAGTATCTCCCCAATAATACGTTCATTAAGATCAAAATCAGTGCCGTATAATGTACGGCTTTGTATTACACGAAAGATTATTAGTGGAGAGGAGACTTACAGGGGTTTCAGCTTCCCGTGGAGCCATACCTCAAGCTCTTTATAGTCAACCTGCATTGCACTACAAGCCGCCAGAACCCCAGTATGGCAGTTGCGCAAATATTAACACGACAAAACAAAACAAAAGACGTTTGTCAGTAAGCCAACACGTAAGTAGTTCGACGGAAATCCAAGACCCACGAAACCAACTCAGAGGGCCAAATGTATTTAAAAAACTGGAATAAACGCTATTGAAAACGGACAGTAATATTATAGTCGTTGTGGAAACTTCGTCGACCTTGACTGTTTTAACACATCACATAAGATTCGGATTTTTGTATTAAGTGCTAGAGGACGAGGGCCTGTATTCTTCTGTTGAAAGTAAATCTATTTGCTTGTCTGGTCTTCTCTTGAATGAATCAATTAAATGTTCGGACAATTCTTCAGATAACAGGTTCGATGATGTTACAGATATCCAGGTTTTGACTGCGCTTTCGTCCTTTACACTTATTAGGCCAAGAGAAATCGACACAATCTAGCCATAATTCAGCGGTGAAGGAGCTTGAAGCTTTATTTGGAAATTTGCCGAATCTGGCCAGTAGTTGTAAGAGATGCACAGCTCAACATACCTTATTGCGCTGTGGTGCGGATGTATGACTGTTTCACCTAAGGTGTGTCCAGTGAGACCATTGAGGTCAGCATCATCGTCAACGGTTTACAGTACTGCATATTTTGGGGACTTATTGGCAGCTACAACTCAGCCCCCCCCTATTGTAATGTCATCACTCAAGGATATGAACAGCCAGAAGTTTAAACATAACGGGCTTTTCATAACTAGTCAATTTTGAGATAGCTTCTTCTGTCCAGAGGCTTCTAGTGGTCTTTTTCTACACCACGGTACTACAGGTAATGAAATAATAAGAAAGGCGCAAGGATAAGTTTGGTTCATCTTACTCTTCTGTATTTCATCTATCCCAGTCATCCTTAAAAATAAAGTAAATGTGTTATTGCATGTCGATGCACCCTTGTGTTTACGTAGACAAGCAAAACATGGGGAAAATCTCGGTACATATGCATACATGTACAACGCCACACAGTGCAAAAAGCTTTCAAAACTTTTTTATAGAAAATTAACGTACAGAGATACCTAAAATTCTTTGATTACTTTTTAAAAACATGAATATTTAAACATATTTTTTTAAAAATTCGACTTCTTCGTTATCGGCACAACGTAAATCCCAAATGCAACCAAATAGCTGTAAAACACGACAGACGAGGTAAAAAAAGAATAAGATTTCAAGATCGCCAACTTGCATCAGCCCTGTAAATGTTTTGACAACCTCACGGTTTATTTGAAGTAAGGTATTTTAGGCGGGTTGTTGGATACCAGCGAGGTATAGAAGAAAGTTTTTTTCCTAGTTAAGTTGTTATCGACCATTCAGTTCTGTTAATTTTAGTTCCGTTTCTATCAGTGATATAATATTTTTCTTTAGGTTGAGGGACTCTGAAGAATACTTCGTATCGAGTTTTCAGGGGTTGCTATAATGAGTTGCTACGTCCGTAAACGTGTCTAAAATCGTAAGATCAAATGGACACAAACATCAGTTGGTCATGTTCGAGTGAAAAACCAGTATAGCTGGACGAAGAACGTTTGTAAGCCTGTTCGCGTAATAGTTTGGATCCAAATTCGATGGAGAAGATGAAGGACGTGCAAATTCTCCCAAAAGTCAGACCGTCATTCCGTAAACCAGTTTGTAGCGGAAAGTAAACCCCCAAAATCAATAGCTCTATCAGTCTTCGACGTTCAATGCTAACCACCCTCATGCTCATGTTTCTAAACCAACGACTGACTTAGCGGTTGGCAGCGTATCCGACATAAGGCCTCGTGGCGTTGTTGGATAGTGGGGGTAGCCCTGCTAGCCAACTTGGGCAGTCGCAGGGATCGGACTGGTCACCCACTCTGTTGCAACTGATCAATCCTGAGTTGTATACTCGGGGCTCACTTTACCGCTCGAGCTACCCGTCGTGTGTGCTCAGGTATGGGAATTGCAGAAGTCATCGGACTTACGCAATCCAAGCGTATTGACGTTTGGTTTCGTAAAAATGAAACGTTGAGTTGCGAAATATCTGCCCTGTATCTAACAAAATCAGTAGCGTATCTATCAAGTCGAAGACATAATAAGAGGTGGTAGCAAATGCTGCAATGGGGCGACCAACAATCTCCCATGATAGAGTGCTTGTGCTTATGTGTGTAAGGAAATGCTGGAGTGATAGCCATGGTGTAAATGGAATGCATATGTGTAAGAGACAGTCTGGTGTACCGAATACGTTTTCTTCGTGAATGGTGAACGTCTACCCTCATAAGTGGGTAAATTTGCCTATGTGTATGCTATAGGATGCATGGGGGGGAAACTCGTGTGCATGTAATGTATATTTGCTCATAGTTTATGTAAACCTGCATACCAAGTGTGTTAACAAGTATGCAAGTAGGCTAACATATACAGTAAATCCGCAAATTTCTTTACTTCTTTCGGTGCGATATCACTACTCATTCAAAGAGCCGTGTAACTGCAGTCCCCATTAAATCACATTCATGCGATGGGTTTGTGAGACTCGACAAAACAGAATCTGTTCATAAAAGTCAGTCATCAACAACATAGAACTTCATACGTGCTTACATCAGTTCGAGTTGCTACACCACATTAACACAGAGATGCAGTTGTCGATTCAAATCCCGTAGTGGTAGAGGCGGTAAGAGTGTAAGCAGTAATCGAAAAGACCAAGGTTTGAAGATGTTATTTAAAGAGTATAATCCAGTGTAATCAATTTGGAAAGAGACAAGGAGATTAAAGTTTGGGAGAACACAAATAGTGGATGCACCTGAATCATCGCAAACGGTTTTGAGCCATGTCATTCAGGTCTCCAACCATCGGTTGTTATCATCTCGCGGATCCCAACTAGCTAGTTCACACTTACCAACATGACTCAGTTCACTTGTCAGTGACTTCATGGATTTGTGCCATGTTTTTGTCTGGCCGCCCCTAGCTTTCTTCCATCCTACACCTACATCATGAAACATCGCATGTCGTGGCAGTCGGTGGTTGGGCATACGTAACACGTGTCCCAGCCATCTCAACTGATGAAGTCTCACTACTTCATCAATTGGTTTGCCATCTTTACCTAGTACCCGTATCCTAACAACTGTGTTACTTACTCGGTAGTCCCAGGATATACAAGCAATGTTTCGAAGACACCTATGATCAAATACTAGTAACCTACGAATATCCTCTACTCTTACCGGCCATGGTTCACTGCCATAAAGTAGGACGAAACGAACTGCTGTGCAGCAAACCGTCCTTTGGTTGATAGACGGATATCTTGCCTACGCCATAAATGACGCAAGTTGGCAAAAGTTAGTCGAGCCTTCTGTATCCGTGCTGAGATTTCGTCAAACACCAGACCACGAGGGCTGATGAGACTTCCAAGACAAGTGAATCGGTCGACACGCTCAACTACTTCACTCCCTATCATTAGATCGGGTGTCGATGCAACCCAATCCTGAAGCAACATTTTGCATTTTGAGGGGGAGAATCGCATCCCGAACATGCTCGCATTGTTGCTTGGAGTGGTCAGAAGACTCTGAATTTTGTCAGCGTCTTCACCAAATAGAACTATGTCATCGGCATATTCCAAGTCAACAAGTGAATCTCCTGGTAGAAGTTCAACCCCTGGAAATTTGGATGAGGGAAGTGTTATCTCTAAAAGCACGTCAACGACAAAGTTAAACAAGAATAAAGAGAGTGAACAGCCCTGACGAACACCACTTGAGGTATGTATGATCCAAACTACGGTTTGGATGTAGAAGAATAGCCTACCGGGGACTTTAGACACGCGCCCTTTCCCGTCGAAATCAGAACAAGTAATCGGGTAACTAGCGGTTCTATAATTCATAATAAATTTAATGTAAATCATTACCTAAACAAATATTATCACCCGGCTATTCAACCAATGATTGTTCAATCAATTAAATCTAAATTACAATAAATAAAGAAGTTGATAGAAGGTGAGGAAAAATTACCAATCACAACAAATCAACGTTATCCTATCCTGGCTGGATAGATCACACACAACAGGAGGAACAAATAAATATGGCTACCGCCAAGAACAAGTGTCAAGTAAAACAACGCAGATGCAGTTCAGGAAGAAACACAAACTTAGTGAATGCGTAATAAAAACAAAAACTATAACAAAAATACAAATATTAACAATTCAAATGTAATCAAAATACAACAATGTACAACTAATTCGTTCAATAGGAATAAAGTACAAGTATATACATGGAGGGATTTTCACCAACACATAAAACCTTCAAAATGGATCTTACAAGGTAATCAACTCTCACTCGGCCAGTTGAGTTTGAGTAGACAGCCTTTACAAGGTTAATGTAGTTCTTCGGTACTCCTTCCAATGACAAGCAATGCCATAGAACCTCACGATCAACAGAGTCAAACGCCACCTTAAGGTCGAGAAATACTACGATTGTGGGGCGTCTGAATCTGTGTCTATGTTCTGGGACCTGACGTAGTGTGAATATCTGGTCTATACAACCACGTTGAGGTCGAAAGCCAGCCTGGTTTTCTCTAGTCTGCTCTTCACGAGCTTTGGTTAGGCGTCGAAGTATTATTGAAGCTAATATTTTAGACACTATATTAGTCAAACTGATTCTTCTGTGATTGTCAGGAGAGGACCTTTTTCCTTTCTTATAGACTGGCACAATCAGTGATTGAGATTAGTCAGATGGGATTACGTCCAGTTTCCAAATTCTACCTAAGTGCTCAGTTAATCTCACTGCTAATACTGATCCACCATCCTAAAAGTCTCAGGAGTAAACCTGTCAGGGCCTGCTGCTCTCCCTCGCTTCAGATTTCTTATACCTTTTTAAAATTCTTAAAGAGTCGGAGGACCTACATTAACTTGCCATTCAGGTTGACTGGAGATCGTGGGAAACCGAAGTGTGGCTGAAGGCCAGTTGAACCGATCGCTAAAGTGTTCGGCCCATCGATTCAATCTCCTTGATTGAGAATGTATAATATGTCCATCTTTCTAT